ATACTAAGTTTCAGTCTTTCTAATGTTAAAAAAAAATAAATGGAAACTTGTTGGACTGACTCGAGAGACGTCGAAGCATCCCTTATTTTCGACGAGGAAGATTAGGATGACTAACGAATGCTACGAGGTATCGTGTAAATATAAGTAATTAGAAATGTTTATTCCTTATCGCTTCAGTGCTCGGCGCTGAACGTTATTCAACGCTGTAACGGGTGCATTGACGAGATTCGGATGATCGAATTAACGTCACCATTGAAATTAATCAGAAAATTATCGTACGTTCATTTAATCACATATTAAACGACAACAGTATAATACAATAATGCTAAAGCAAAATCACATATCTGTATCATGGAAATAAGTCGAAAATTATGCACGCTATATATATCATTCCTACAAATAAATATTTTTCAAACGAAATTTAATACATTTTCGACTTATTTCCACTGTTTTTAAAAGACGTCGATGTATCCCTAGTTGTAAAACAGTAGAATAACGAACAAGGTGTATCGTGTTATTTATATATTAATTAAGCAACTTCTCATGTGTACACTGTAAATATATATATTATATATATATATACACATACACACACATATATATATATATATATACAATAAATATAGAATATACATAAAATATCTTGTCGTATTTACAATCGTGTTAGAACGAATAGATGTTACATAGGCGAACGAAACCTCGTGACGCAATTATATTCAAATTCCAATTAAACAGTCGGTTTAATGACGTCGTTCGAGTACATATGCGGAGGGCAATGCGTGTGACGAGGTGAGTAAAATATTACATAGTTTCAGCACGTCGGAGCTCGCTTTCATCATCGCACAATATCCCTCACACTCTCTAACAGAGACAAAATAGTGACTGACTTTACTAACAGACATACACTTACATCTCTTAATGCATATGTTGCTGCTGCTGATGCTGCTGCTGTTGCTGCTGGTTACGTACACGATGCTCGTTTATATAATAACTATATATTATATGCACGTATATAATACATGTATGTGTCCACGTGTATACGGTGTAAAAGCCTACGGAGATTACTTTGATTGTACCTAATTTAGAATTATGCACAGGCCGTACACATTGAACGCGCGTCAGCTTTCAATTTAAATTTCGTACCTAATCTAAAACTCTCGTCTCTCCCACCCCCACCCTCTTTGTAATTGACAATTAGTTGAACTAATTAGTATTTTCATTTCTTCTCATTTTTCATGTAGTTTAGTCATTCGAGGTACCCTTGAAGAGTAAGAATAACACAGGTATACTTTTACGTACATATATATATATATTATATGTATATA